CCCTACTAAGTGCAAAATATAACTACAAGACTGGATTGGTTCAGCTCCCAACCTCACTCTAACTGGGTAAGTGATAGAAAAAGCGGATAAATTTTGTTATTTGGGCAGCTACATCTCACCCGGTGGACGCATCCCGGATGAAGTGTCGGCACGCATACGCAGTATTGCATGAATTGGGATGGGGAAATTGGACAAGCAATGCTGAGGTTAGGCGCTGAGTTTTAGGTTTTCGCTGTCGCCCACTGTAGCAAGCGTTTGATCTCCGTACATCTACATGTGTTGGGGCATGTGTTACTCATGGTGCCAAATCGATTCTTACGGCGTTTGTTTCGCGGGGCAGGTAGTGGGTGGCAAAAAGTAAAGGATGGTCAAACTCAAACCCGGCATGAGGGTATGAAAACTCTGACCAGGTGTCTTTGTGTTAGGCTTCCTAAATGGGGACTTGGAGTTCCTTGTTATCGATGGTTGCAGACACTGAATGACGTGACTGAATCTCGTAAACAGTGGTACTGGTGCATCTTAATTTCTTTGCAACCCTAATCTGCTGCAATTCTCCGTTATCTCTTCGACTCTACTTTCAACTTCCCATTCTTCCCTCTACTCCTTCATCCAAATGGACAACTACAAGACAGCAATCAAAACCGGCATACGTATGTGCATGTTTACTGGTTGTAAAATTTAAAATCCATTTTACTGAATGGGTTTTGCTACGTACCTCTGAGTTGTACATGGCTCATTCAACATTTTCAACACATTTGGCCTCTCTGACAGAATCGCGCTTGCACACTGCACGGCTAGCATCAATATGCTTTCTTCACAAGGTTTGTGCAATCGGTGAACACCATCATGTGTGCGTCGAACTAGGTGAACCGTCACTACACCATTGCATGTTGTTTGATCGATGGTCAGCCTGTACATCGGTCGGGGACCAAGTCAGTAAATATGAAGTATTGTGAAATACCAAGGGGGGCGATATTGCATAGTCAGGACCTACGTTGTTACGTGGCTTCTCATGGGTGCGATACAACAGGAGATGGACTGTAATCCGTTCCGATTGGCAACAGTTCCCTCGCGGTGGGAATCATGTCGAGCACCGATATATTGACCAGCTATTAACAAAACGCTAAGCTGGTTCTTTGACTTGTTCCCGTACCTAGTTGCGCTATATCGTGTGGATGACATCTCGTCAATGCGTACACAGGTAGGTAGTAGCGCAACGTGCGCTCGTTTACTTTCTGAGATGCCTCTCCGGTGTACATTATTGATCGCCCGGGTTCAATTGATCCGATTCTCACGTGTACCGTGCAGTGTTTTGTCTTGCCTCTCCGTGCAAGCGCATCTTGTGATTTTTCTGGTTGTTGTATTTTCCCTGTCGTCCCACTAGAATGAACTTAGCAAGACACATGATCTAGGCAACCGTCAGAAAAAAATGTCATCTGACTGCCCCAGGGTGATAACCTAGGTGGTCTGCATATTCGCAAACAATTTCAGCCTGTAGTAAGAATACTGTTGGGGTGTTCTGCCATGACACTATTCATTTCCGAGGCACTGCTTGAGCATCCCCGCTGAATGGATCAGAAATCAGTTCATATTCTGGAACGAAATAGCCTGTATTTCCCGAAACTGCATCACTTTTGTCAGTTAATATCGGGCAGTGTATTCTTTCAGCATAGCCTATTCAAAACATCTACACGCGGTTTATTTTAAGCATACTCAGAGGGGAGTATTGAACTGCCCAAAACGCTCTATCGGACAAACTGGAAGATTGCTGTCAACAAGGCTCCGTAAACATCAATCGGCATGACCCAGTATCGCTGATTTCTCTCCACGAAAATCAAAAACGACATCAGTTTGACATCGGATCATTGAAAATTATCGACCAAGCCTGGTCAAAACACGTCGGAGAATTTCTCTTCAATTAACTCAATAAACAGGCACATCGAACTGGATCACGTGTACACGCCAATGCAACTAAAGGATCGGATGACGCAACGAAAAGGTCACGTCCTGACGAAACCCGCCATCAAGACGGAAGAACACCCCCTCCCCCCCGCTCATTCTCACCTTCACCCCCTTGCACCAGTTCCACGACAAACCGAGTCGAATACAGGGACAAAAATAGTCGGTGGAGAAGAACATATGTATAAAGAACGGGTACAAGCAGAACACTGGCACTTCACAAGCACTGATGATGTCATCTTGGCTGGTGATGAAACGTTTGCAAACAAATTACCAGGCTCATCGAACAGGCGAAATGGAATGGAAGTGTTGGCTGGTTTTGCCACCGATGTGCACTTCGGTTCTTCCATAGCAGGTCTGCACCCGATACCCACTCTTTGGTAGCTGTTTCTTGGTTGAGTTGGACAAGTACAATCTTTGGAAATCAGTAATGATTACGAGGCCTTGCGTACTGCTTCCCTGACTTTTATCGGTACATTCTTTACGGTAGCGTTATGTATATGATCCTCCCTGTTTTATCCTCGATTTCATTTCATTTAACAATCGGTTTTGTTTGCAATATTTACATATATATATCACTTTAGAGTATCAAGCTTGGATATATATATATATCACTTATTTTGGTCAGTTGGTGTCAAGCAAATCGCGGTGCAGTAATTTTTTAACCGAAACATTTCACGTTTTCTTCGTGGGTAAGATCCTGCCATGTTTCCCGTCATAGTTTGTGATTTTCTTACAGATTTACAACTGAAGCCTCTGAACCCCTCAGTGTAATGGGATAACGTGCGATGTCCATTAGGACTGGATTCTATTCGCTCGATTCTTACGACCTTTCTCATATGTCCAGGCTATCCAATGCACCTTATCGCTCAGATGATCTATATATTCAGACTGATCCGTACACCTCTTCTTGGACTGCTCCGAATCCAAGGTTTTCTTGACGAGGATTTCCTTGATAACTAGGCTTTACCTGCTTCGGGAGAAACTGGGGATTTGAGTGCTTGCACTTCAGATGCAAAAGTGAAGGTATCTTGTGGAGTAAAGAATGGGCTCTCAACCATGAGATGGAACGGTCAGATGACTAGTGAGTTGCCTTACGCAACGGAGGCAGCCACGGAAAAAGTCGATAGACTGTATCAGGGATGCAGCCACATATGCGAATTGAAAAAGGTTTTTCTTGTTGTCTGAGGGTCTCCGTGTATTTCATTGAAAAAAATTCCGAAGAAAACTTGTCACATATTGCTCTTATATTCTCGTATTAAACTCCTGCAGTCCGGAGTTCTGGGCAACGGCTCCTCCTCGTCCATGTTGCTTGTGGAAAATAGCCTCCGATCAGTCAGGGAGTTCGTTCGCGACTGTTTCGCGTAATCCGAATCAACGTATGAATCCATTTTCCGGTTGTCGTTCTCGTTGGTCTTCGGGCAATGCAACCTGGATTCGACGACATCCGGGTCACGGTCTCCAGCTGCCCGATCACTTACTCCCACGTTTGTCTCAGATGATGGGAAATCCACAAGTTGCCAGTGCCGCCACCCTGACTACTATTTCACCACACGGTCGACGGAGTTTGTCACATTGTAAGATCTTTTTTCGGGTTAATTTATTGCTCCTCTACGCATTGCTCCATTGACTTTCCGTTGAATAGGATTTGTTTGTTCCACG